CCGCCATGTTGAGCCACCATGTTCCTACAGTAGCCCAGAATGGACAAACCAAACACTGACTCAAGATAGGAATCTTTTTGTTTGTTATACGGCTACCATAGTATCTTCTACACACTTGGAACGGGAGGGTGAGGCGAGGGCTGGATGCCAGTGGATCCTACACACTGGTCCTTTGAACTATAGGACACTGACAAATCAGAACAGAGTAGTAAGTCTTACTATTAACATAAATTATGGCTCTGTTGTATTCAAATGTCCCAGTAAGCCCTGACAGTGTGGCAGTGAGCCAGCGGGATCAATACCAAGACCCTGAAACCAAATGGAATTCAGCCATTATCAGTGTTATTATTTACACCTGTGCTTTAAATGTCCAAATGTCTTCTGTGAACTGTGAGGAAGACCTGTTGATTCTTCACTTTATGTTCACTGTTATGAATTCAAGAACTCAAGAAAGTTTGAAGAGTTTGCTCGTTGATATTTATGCTAACGATGTGTCTGCAGAGCACTGGTTTCCAACTTTTTAAATACAGCACATCTTTATAATAATTATTTTCCATGGCAGCCCTCGGCTTAAAGTATTTATTTTCTTTCAGATGTCTTTTGAACTTATTTAGCACCATTGCTGCATTTGACAGTTTTTCCAATAGAGGATCCATTTAGGTTTGGAACAGTTAGCTTTCCCTCATCACGAAACCAAGAAGGGACGTATTTTTCACCACACAGTGTAATTTAAGGCTGTATGGCGGCTCTGTGTGGAGGCTGATAGATGAGGTAGATATTTTAGCAATTTGACCATGGTGACAAGACTTTTCATCACTGCTCTGACAGTCATTATTTCTGACTACTGATTTTTGTTAAAGTTAAATTATTGTAATGAGGTAATTAATGTGGTTTCACAAGTGTGCCAATTAAATTTCAAGCTTGAAAAAATTGAATTGAAATATTGAAATTAATAAAAAACCAACAGCTGCCTGGAACAGCAAATTCATTATAAAGAAATTGAAAACTAAATTGCATGCCTTTGAAATTGATCAGCAAAAGCCTACTACTGGCTCAACATTTTTTACTTTGGGCTGTAAGAGAAAACATGAGACAGGAGTGAACAAGTGCACTCACAGTACAGCTCTTTGGGTTCAAACTCAGGACCTTCTTTCTGTGAGGCGACAGTAATCACAACTGAGCCACTGTGCTGCCCCAGGAGGCGCTTGAGCTGCCTAATATCCCAGCACTGTCCTCATAATATATATATATATATATATATATGAAAGATAAGCACTTATGTTAATGTGGTTATTAATTAAGTAAATCAGTGCATTCATTTGCAGATAATCCTATGTCAACATACAGCACTTGTCTTCACATAGCATATAGAATGTATTAATATGAACTCAGGCATGAACTCAGAATCTTAAAGTACGAAGGAAAATTAGCTTTTCTTATTAATATGATAATTTGTGCAGCAAGAAACTCCGCAGTCTAATCAGATCACCCACTTAGTTTCTCTCCAGTTTCTAACATTGTGTGCAGTCCTTGTGTTTTACCAAGAATTTGTTTTCACACAGATACACAGGCATATGACGCTGAGTAAGATTTACTTAAAATGTTAACAAAAGCACAAATCTTATCGAGAGTTTTCACCTGCTTGCTAAAGAGATGCTGTCAGGACTATAAATGCAGGGTATGTGGACAAGACAGACACACAAAGTGTAAATGGATGAATAACTTTGATGTTTTGTGATGCTTGGTATAATTTGGATGAAAACAGAAGGGAATATGGAAGTAGCTACATGGCAAACTCAGTAGAGAGTCCCTTACATTATGGAGAGCAAAACAAAGCCATTGGAAATCTCTTATAGTGGAATATATTTTCATTTCTGAAGTAACAGTGTTTTAAATTTCTCTCAAAAGAAATCTGGTGGACGACCTACAAAGCACAGTTGTAACATTACATGTAAACATTCACAATCAGAGGGATTCTTGTAAAGGGGGAAATTATTATTATTTTTTGTTACAAGACTCCAGGTATACAAACATACATATATTGATACATAGTCCAATCATCTATTTAAGAACAAATATAAATACTTAGATATCCAACTATATATAAAAGATTAGTATATATAATTAAGATCCAAGGATTTACTAGTTTAATAATGCTGCAAAAAGTTGTGCAAAAGTGATTGTTTCTGTTGTTTGTGTCTGAGATTATTTCCGAAAGGGGGAATGTCTGACTCTCTGAGGTAGGCGTTATAACGAGTTTAATGCACCAGGCAGGAATGATTTTCCTGGTGCGCTCTGTGGTTGCATCTGGGTGAGTAGGAAGTCTTCTGCTGAGGAGCTCTCTGCTGGGCCAGTGTGTCATAGAGAGGGTGTGAAACATTGTCCAAGATGGACTGAAAGTATGACTGGACTGAATGTATTAACCAAATTAGTTTTTACTATTATTATAATATTTTCTTATTATAAATACAAACTTCTTCCATTTGCTCTGCATGTTCCAGTTGACGTGTTTTACTGCAACCCTGTCTCATAGTTTTTTCACAGCAGCCAATTTAGAGATAGTAGAGTAAAAACAGGTGTTACTAATGGCACTAATTAAGGTTCTGTTCCATTTAGTGTATCAGAGCTTTTCCAGTGAGCCACCAAGCACAATAGCAGCAACCTGACTCTGTTTGACCCGAATGGAACCGAACCCTAACTAATGTCACTGGTAACACCTGTTTCAGCTACTATTGCTCAGAAAAGCACGTAATCCTACAGTTTATCAGAGCTTTCAGAGTTTAAACAACATGGCTGAAGCCCAACCACTCCCAGCCACCGATGGCTGCTCGGTGGCCATCAGACAGTGGTTGTATTGAAATATGATCAGGGCCTGAAAGAATAAAGGTTAAAAAAAGATGCCATTAAATCCAACACACTGCTCCTTCATGTACAGTACGTGAATTAATACATTTATTTACATCCCACCACTGAATTCAACCTGTACATTCAGTATCATTTAATTAACATTTCCTTATTATGTTTATAGTAAACTACTAAAAGTAGTATATAAATGTAGGCTAATTTAGAGAGATGTTCATTTACTCACATCTCCTGTAAGAAAAGCACACGTGTAACTTATTAAATTAAAGACCGCTGAGTTCCATTAAGC